GGCGCTTACAACACTATTCGGGCTCTGACATGCCTGGAAGGTCTTAAAGCGCTGTCTTGTCATATCCTGAAGGTACTTTCCTATAGGCGTGCATGGTATGGTCCTCGGTATTGCGGTTGACTTGAGTGCCCTGCCTTATCTGCGCGTGTAGTTATGAAGGAGCAGCGCGCAGACGTCGGGCGAGGCGGAGCCAGTCCCCAGACATCGGGCAAGGCGGAGCTAGCCCCCGGACGTCGGGCAAGGCGGAGCCAGCCCCTGGACGTCGGGCGAGGCGGATCCAGCCCCCGGACGTCGAGCGAGGCGGAGCTAGCCCTCAGGGATCGGGCGAGACGGAGTTTGCCCTCAGACGTCGGGCGAGACGGAGCCACCCCCCGGACGTCGGGCGAGGAGGAGCCAGCCCCCAGATGTCGAGCGAGGCGAAGCCAGCCCTCGGGGGTCGGGCAAGACGGTGTCTGCCCTCAAACATCAAGCGAGGCGGAGCCAGCCCCCAGACGTCGGGCGAGGCGGAGCCAGCCCTCGGGGTCGAGCGAGATAGAGTCTGCCCTTAGACGTCGGACGAGGCGGAGCCAGCCCTCGGGAGTCAGCTTGAGGCGGGGCCCATGATCTTGGTGGACGGACGAGGAGTGACCCGACAGGCAGTGTAGTCGCGCTCTCGATCGCGCGGATGAATCAATGTTGATGGTCTTTAGCTCCTCCTTTTTGGGTACCCTAATATTGGTCCCCGACAAGATGCTTTAAGGGCTACAATATCATATTTTATAGTTAAGGGGGTCATGCAATCAACCCTTGATATGTTAAGGGGTTATATAGACTTTTTAATATGTCACGTCAGCAAAACCACTTTCAAAACCACCTCAGTGGGTTATTTAGATGGTTTTCAATAGTTTGAGGGGTAGAATACGTGGTTTTGTAGGTAAGGGTGTGAAGTAGACAACCACCAATAGTTGAGGGGGTTAAGTAGACTTTTTCCTTTTAGAAAATAATAGTACTATAAATATAATTCTTTGATATGGAAAATTCAAAATCTTGATTGTCTTTGGTGTAGGCTTAAACTATCGTTTATGCTATGGTCTAGGACCTAGGATCTAGTTTTAATAAAACATAAAAGAATTATGATAAAATATACAATAAGGACTAGAATTTCAATTTAAAACATGCATGGATAACAAAGTTGTATCAAATATATATTATACTAAAAAGTGAAAGTCAATGTATAAACTCATGATGTCATAGAAAGGAAACAATATGAGCTAATATAACTTAAACTATGGTTTCAACTAAATAATATTTATTATTGGGCAATGCTATGGTACTCCATTTACTTATTAGGAGGTAATACCTTAAATAAATCTGAGCCATCAATTTTTTAGATTTTTGAATTAATTAATTAATCTAGAAAATACAGAATTTCTTTTTTAAGGAAAAAATACAAAATATTCTCAAACCCCTCCGACCAAGGGAGACATGGATGGTCATGCGGCTCCTTCCTTTTTCACGCGCATCGCCGTATCCTTCCTTTTTGTGTGGCTCAACTACAAAAATATATGTTACATACATGAAAAATATCAACAACTAACATGTTAATTGAGCCATAAACTTTAGCAATCTAATAAACACATGTTACATGTCAACACGTTACATAATCGAGTATGCACATTGTCATCTGGGAGTACCACGACAAAGCCCTTCATTATTATCATTTTATTTTGGTACTTAAGCTTTAGGCCTCTTTTTAGAGTTTGGCAGGTCCCTGAATTTCCCGGGATGGTCCCGCTGGCTCTTTGCACACCCTGCGCCCACGCTGGTCGATCTAGGACAGTAGTTAGCACTCCAAACATTCTTTTTCTCAATATAAGTACACATGAGATCAATACAATAAATCGTTGGTTCTCAACCAGTTTCAGTCACCTCTGGCTACATATAGGAGAGTTCTACACGCTTGCCATCTGAATTTGCCACACTTAACTCCATGCAAGTTCTTCCTGTTCTCTGAAGTGAAGACATCCTATCAGCAATTATATATCTATCTCATTAAGGTCATGATGAACTAATTAATTAAAAAGCATAGCAAAAAATATATAAAAATCATACACCCCGCATCACACGTGGACAATAATTTAACCGGAGCAGTTCGTACCTACTGTTGAAATAATAGAAGGCGCCACGGCAATGCATACACGAAGTAGACACGTCACGTAGTTAACATGAAGATGATTTGGCATCGATCGTTAGCAGTAGCCATATATACCTGAGCCACACGCCCACACCCACACTGTAGCAAGAGCAACTAATAACCGTCAGGATGCAGCTAGCAAAAACCTGATCGGCAACAGTAGCGCCCGGACGTGCGTCCGGACCAGGGCCGGCCCTGAGTTTTTAGGGGCCCAGGGCGAAACCAAAATTTAGGGGCCTCTTATATACACATGAACTAAGCACTTATGTATATACATTGTTAATGATAAACGCTTCAGAAAAAAAACAATTCATATATATTAAAATACCTTAAAATTTTATTCTGACGTTCTCGATGCGAAGTCATTAATGATAGTATATACTCTAGTTCCTCGACAACAACCAGTCAACCATCACGAATTACTCTTATAAAAAAACTTATGTATAGATCTCTCCGTGATTGTATTAATTCATCTACTCATGCTCACTTTTTATTTTCTTTGTTTGATGAGATTTTGTACAAAATATTTTTTAAAAAAAATAAAAGAAACAGGTAAGCTTTACTTTACTATGTGTGCATGCATAATCATGTGCGCTTTGAAGAGGCAAGAAGATGGTGAAGGAAGCTAGCAAAGTGCTCTGGCTTTCATGTCTTGTTTAATAGGAGAAGATGGAGAAAGCAAGTTAGCATGGTTGCTCAGGGCCCACCAGACAGCCAGTACTATTACTGTCTCTAAATCGTTTGCATCACAAGGGCTAGTGTCTGTTTGCATCACAACTAAAAAAAAACAAACTCACAAGGGTTAAGGCGCATGGTTGCGCTTATCTGCATTAACCAATTGAGTTCGCAAAATACTAGCTCGCACGATGATCGTCAGGTTGTGCTTATCTGCAGTAACCACGTAATATACGGTATACCTAGGATGGGGCCCCATGGGATCGGGGGGCCAGGGCGGCCGCTCCGCTCGCCCGCGCTCAGGGCCAGCCCTGGTCTAGACGCACCCGATGCAGCGTCTGGGCCCGACGCAGCGCCCACGCCCTACTAAGCTCCCTTGCCCGCGCCGGTCTAAGCCCAAAGTAGTCCACGAACCTGGTGATGGCATAGGCAAGCAGGCCGTTGTTTCAGGAGCAGCGCGATGAGGACCCACTCCAGAGCCACGTATGACAGCGCAGACACGACCTTGTGCGTCCTCTCGTGGAGCGCTGCCACCAGCTTACCAACTGGCGCCGTCATGGCTCCTGTGCCAGCTTCCTCTTCCTGGCTCGACCACCCTATATCTAGATTTAGTTTTGCAACATTCAGATGAAACAATTGCAACATACGTCTGAAAACAGATGAAACATTTGGAATATACACTTGTAACATAGCCATTGCAACATATGCAACATCCAGTTATAACACTTGCAACATACGTCTCAAATAGATGAAACATTTTAAACAAATTCTTGCAATATACGTATGTAGCCATTGCAACATCCGGATCTACCTTTGCAACATCCTTACAAAACACTTGAAACATACCTCTGAAGCATCTGAAACACCTAAAAATATATATTTGCAACGCACGTTTTCAACGCAACACGATACGGGCAGCACGGTGAACTGACGCAGTGGAGGCGGTCATGTGACGCGGCCACTGCAGGCTGGGGGCGCGACGGCCAGGGCAAATCCACGCGGACGGGAGCGAGCAACGACGCAGGGCGCGCGGAGCGAGCCGGGTGGGACCGTGGGAGCCAGCAACGACACCGGTGAGCTGGGTGCGCGGAACGAGTGCGGAGTGCTCCGTCCAGATAGCGGCGCCTTACAGGAAGCAGCAAGCATTATCGAAACCTGGTCCTTGAGTCCTTTCCTTGACTGACTCACCCTCCGATGGAAACTCCAGAACTGCAGAAACAGTAAGGGGTGTTTGGTTGTAGGGATTAAATTTTAGTCCCTGTCCTATTGAATGTTTGATATATGTATGGAGTATTAAATATAGATTAATTACGAAACTAACTGTATAGATTGAGACTAATTTGCGAGACGAATCTTTTAAGTCTAATTAGTCCATGATTTGATAATGTGGTGCTACAGTAAACATGTGTTAATGACGAATTAATTAGGCTTAATAAATTCGTCTTGTAAATTAATCTTCCTCTGTATAATTAGTTTTATAATTAACTTATATTTAGCCCTCCTAATTAGTCCGTGTAACAAACACGCCCTAAGTACCGCTAGCTGGGGGTCGGTGCCAAAATTATAGCCGAGGGCAGAACAGGGACCGGACCGGAACGCGATGCCACTATCCATTCCTTCGGGCGCCGCGCGCCGGGTGATTTGATCTGATTCTGAACAGGTGATGTGGCCACCTTGTTCACTTGTGAGCTGTCCCGTTTCCCGAGGTAACAGCTTTGCTTCCTTTCCGAGTGAGATGCACAGCCGGGTTCGCACCGTTTCTCTCTCTCTCTCTGTCAATCTCTGTGCGAATAATGCTCCGTATAACCAGATAGCAGCAAAAACTTCAGCCTCACCAGGCGCGCGGTAGAGCACGCATGCATGGCGACAAACGCCAGTTAGGTTGATTCCGTCACCAAGCACGTACGTGCGTACGCGCCGCGCGTGCACGACGCGACGACGAGGAGGTGAGCTACGTACGCTCTTGCTAGCGGCGTATAGCTGCTTCCTGCTCGCTATATACCCGTCCATCACGCGTCGAGTCGTGCGGACGCCGTCCTCTCTGCTCCATCACCCACATGCCACGGCCTCACCACCTGGCCTGGCCGGCTGGCCACGCGTAGTCGTCGTCACTACTCACACTCAGTAGCAGCATCCACGCCATCGATCGGCCATGCCAGCCGAGCTCTCGCCGCGCCTGGCCGCGGCCACCTCATCCGCGGCCTCGTCGTCGCCGTTCCCTCACGGCGCGCCGCGGATCAGAGCCGGCGAGCAAGACGACAGCAGGCTGCCACCGCCGCCGACGACGGCGGCCACGACGCGGGAGGGAGGCAGCAGGAAGCGCCGGCGCGGGGCGTGGGACCCGCGCGCGAGTAGCTGGGCGACGGAGTGGGACCGCGCGTACCTGCTCGCCTGCGCGGCGGGGCTCATGGTCGACCCGCTCTTCCTGTACGCCGTGTCCGTCAGCGCGCCGCTCATGTGCGTCTTCCTCGACGGCTGGTTCGCTGCCGCGGTCACTGCGCTCCGGTGCGCCGTGGACGCCATGCACGCCTCCCACCTGCTGCTGCGGCTCCGGGAAGCGTGCTCGCCGAGGCGGGAAGACACGGACGAGGAGGAGGCGCAGCCGGGGCGCGATGACGCACGCGGCGGCGTGCCGGAACGGGGGAGGTCCAAGAAGGGGGTTTTCTTGGACGTGCTGGTCATCCTACCGGTGATGCAGGTGCGCCGTCGGTCCCTATCCGTGCATGATTCTCGTGTCTTCTTTGAAAATTGAGATGGTAGTGCTTTCATCTGTCTCTTCTTGGGCAAAAAAATAGAAAAGGAGAAGAATTTGATCAATTTAGCTGGGGCGGACTTGCCGCCCGGCGGCCTCAACGAACACGCGATGGAACGCAACAGAGTTTTTGTGTTATCTGAAGGACTGAAAATATATATATTTTCTATAACAAATACTCATCATAGTTAGATTTGCCCGGGCTCTAAAACTTTCCTGGGCCCGCCATTTTAGCATGAATTTCTCGGTGGACAATGTTCCGTACTCCATGGTGACAGAATAGAAACAATGTCCAAACAAGACCATTGGAACAACGGAGATTTTTGAAGGCTTCAACATTGTCAACGTCCATTAGTCCCTCATAAACCATACTCCTACCTTCCATTCCGTGGCAGCGTGCTGAATGCGGCATCGCATTTCCCCATCACATTCTGCCAGCAAATGGCTGCATGTGATCCCCGCTGCTCCTCCGAGCACTGGCCACGTCCCACCTCCGCCATCTTTCTGGCGACTGCCGCTCTGGCGCTCTGCACCCAGTAACGTGCTGCGACCTGGGATGCCGATTATTTCCAGTGGTCTTTAGAGGGTCATTTCAAGCAGCGATCTGCGCACGTACGAAAGTCAGTTTCGTTTATCGGCTGGCTTTGCAGCATGGGACCATTGTGCTTTGCGCAATTCAGTAGCCTGCAATGCATGCTGGACTATGCAGATCGGGCCCGTTCATCAATCGAGTGAACCAACAATGCGTTCGATCAATCAATGCAGATTTAACCTTCTTTCCAACGAGGCCCAAACGACCCCCACTTGGAACTGTGGACTGTGGGCGCCGGGCCCGGTCATCTTTTCAGTGGTACCATGTCAGGCATGGCATGCATGCCGCGTGACCATTTTTGTGCGTTCGCAGGTGGTCGTCTGGGTGGCGTTGCCGGCGATGATACGCGCCGGGTCGACGACCGCCGTCATGACCGTGCTGCTGGTGGCGTTCCTGTTCGAGTACCTGCCCAAGATCTACCACTCCGTCCGCGTTCTGCGCCGGATGCAGGACGTCTCCGGCTACCTCTTCGGCACCATCTGGTGGGGGATCGCGCTCAACCTCATGGCCTACTTCGTCGCCGCTCACGTGAGTCGTCCGTCCTCTCTCGTTTCACCCTCATCTGCCTGCATACTGACTGATGTGTCCGTCGAAGCATATTGCCCCCTCGACGACGACGGCTTACACATTTCGGTGAACTCGTCTCGTCGGTGCATGGAAGTCAATAGCATCCCAGCTACTCCTTGCCCAACCACCGCATCCTTCAACAAGGAACCTATATGAACATCGAAACCCAAAATAGGTAACAAGAAATCTAAAATTAGTCTCCAACAGTGTATCTATACGAAAGACCTATTTTGAATTCTCTAAGAGGCACAACCCAAATATGGGTATCCTCTCTCATGGAAATCCATTTATAGAAATGATTCTCTTTTGGGTCTTGTTGTTGGAGAAGATGCCGAATAGATATTGAACCTTTTATCTGTAGCGCTACCCAATGAACGAATGGATCTTGTATTTTAGGAGTTGTTGTCGGTGATAGCCTAACAACGCAAATGTGACCAGGCATTTTGTCGTGAATGCACGGGCATCTTACCACTAATGGCCTCTCGGAGAAAGACGACGCCTGCGATGCCATGATTCTGTGACAGCTAGACATGCCATTCTTGGTTACAGGCGGTGGGCGCGTGCTGGTACCTGCTCGGCGCGCAGCGGGCCACCAAGTGCCTGAGGGAGCAGTGCGCCCAGGCCGGGAGCGGGTGCGCGCCCTGGGCGCTGGCGTGCGCGGAGCCGCTCTACTACGGGCGCGGCGTGGCCGTGGGGGCGGACAGGCTCGCCTGGGCCGGCAACGCCACGGCCAGGGGCACGTGCCTCGACAGCGCCGACAACTACCAGTACGGGGCCTACCAGTGGACGGTCATGCTGGTGGCCAACCCCAGCAGGGTCGAGAGGATTCTGCTCCCCATCTTCTGGGGACTAATGACTCTCAGGTGAGAATGCTGTCGCAGACGAATGTTCCTAGCTCCATTATTGGATCGACCAATGCGTATTATGGTGGATTCATGGTTTCAGTAACTTGGCCTGGTTACTGATCGTGCAAATGTTTTTTCACTAATGCTGGCGCTGCTCAGCACCTTTGGGAACCTGGAGAGCACGACGGAGTGGCTGGAGATCGTGTTCAACATCATCACCATCACCGGCGGACTCATTCTCGTGACAATGCTCATAGGGAACATCAAGGTAATAATAATAAATAACGAAACGGTCACGGTCACTCAAAACAGGGATGCCCGAGTGCGTGCATGTGGTTTGTACGATCGTCTTGGCTGATGGTCGACGATGCATGCGAACGGCAGGTGTTCCTGAACGCGACGACGTCCAAGAAGCAGGCGATGCACACGCGGCTGCGGGGCGTGGAGCTGTGGATGAAGCGCAAGAACCTGCCCAGGAGCTACCGGCACCGAGTGCGGCAGTACGAGCGGCAGCGGTGGGCGGCCACGCGCGGCGTCGACGAGTGCCGCATCGTCCGTGACCTGCCGGAGGGCCTCCGCCGGGACATCAAGTACCACCTCTGCCTCGGCCTCGTGCGCCAGGTACGCAGCAAACGCACGCACCGACACCGACGGGGCGTGACGTCTCGTCAGTTTTGGCCGCGCTGCTGGTGCATCACGTGCTCGTCGCGCGCGTAACTGATGCGGCAAGCGGCACAACCGCAGGTGCCACTGTTCCAACACATGGACGACCTGGTGCTCGAGAACATCTGCGACAGGGTCAAGTCCCTCGTATTCCCCAAAGGAGAAGTTGTAAGCTCAACGACCAACATGCTGGTTTGGTTTCCCTTTACTGTCTCCGATTTTTGGCAAAAACCAAGATTATATTGATCTCTGCTTATTATGACTCATCAGATTGTCAGAGAAGGGGACCCAGTGAAGAGGATGCTGTTCATCGTGCGCGGCCACCTGCAGAGCAGCCAGGTGCTCCGCAACGGCGCCAAGAGCTGCTGCATGCTGGGGCCGGGCAACTTCAGCGGCGACGAGCTGCTGTCGTGGTGCCTGCGCCGGCCGTTCCTGGAGCGGCTGCCGGCGTCGTCGTCCACGCTGACGACGCTGGAGAGCACGGAGGCCTTCGGCCTGGACGCCGCGGACGTCAAGTACGTTACGCAGCACTTCCGGTACACCTTCACCAACGACAAGGTGCGGCGCAGCGCGCGCTACTACTCGCCCGGGTGGCGCACGTGGGCGGCCGTGGCGGTGCAGCTCGCGTGGCGCCGGTACAAGCACCGCAAGACGCTCGCGTCGCTGTCCTTCATCCGCCCGAGGCGGCCGCTGTCCCGGTGCTCGTCGCTCGGCGAGGAGAAGCTCCGCCTCTATACCGCGCTGCTCACATCGCCCAAGCCCAACCAGGACGACCTGCTGTGACTGAGATGCATGCATGCGCGAGACATCTGCAATTCTGCAGTCTGAACAGCGAGCCATGGAGTACGGGCTGTTCAGCGGAGTTGAAGCAAAATGCAGCAAGATTAGGGGGGATTCAGCTAGCAAGTGAATGGCAGAAAAGAACTCGAGCATTGGAGCTCCATGTGTACGGCATTACTGATTGAGTTGACTGGTTCTCTGTTGCATGCGCGGATGGGCCTCTCAAACTATTTAAGCCTGGCTTTCTTCTAGTGCATGTGCATCACCTAACAGTTTTTTTTTCTTTGTGAATATACACCAGCCTGCCTAACATGTCAATTCACACTCACGGTTACATGTTTACAAGTGATAGGGGAAAAATGCAGATTCTCATCAGGCATTTAGGCACCAATACAAAGGTGATAAGAAGCCTAGCAAAAACATATACTCGATCGCCAATGGCCAACGTAACTCAAAACTGACAGAATCAAAATAGATATATAGCTAGAGAACATATTGCCCTACATCCAAAACAAATGCATATCTCCAAGGTAAAACGAATAACATCTGAATCGCTCAGTTTGCATCACGAGGTAACAAAAGAATTGGCAAGGTCAAACTTTGGTATCAGAAGCCTTGCTAGGCTAAGCTTCGAAAATAGCGGGACAGCAAAACTGATGCAAGTAGTACTAGTAGCATCTAGAACGTAGGTGGACTACAAAATTGGGAGATTTGAATTTATATGCTACTTGAGTCCCTTCCAAAGATGAACCGCCTCCCCCAATCTGATACGACCAGCATCTTTGTGCGCCAACTGAATTGTTTGCTGTATTTAACAAGAGCAAACGACAATGAAAACCAGCATTCAATTAGATATATGTAAGATGGAACATACCGAGACCGGAACAAGAACATACCTTGCATAGACAGAATACCACAGCCATTGGGTGCTGTGTCCAACATGTACCCAGTCACCAGGCAATTGATAAGCAGTTTGCTCTCCACCCAGTGGAGCGAATTGCCCAAGATGCCTGTACCTGTACATCACACGACAAAAGATTAGTAATTGCTCGGTTCCGGATGAACAATCATAGCCATGCAAATGGAAGTAATATTCAGTTACACATATCAACTATCAAGTACAGCAAAGTTACAAGTATGTTTTTGACAGAATTTAGTAATCTAGATCAGTTACTTCCCCCATGGGGAGGGATATGATAGCTTGGAAAACGGACCTGAAAGGTTTGAACCGATGGCGCCCTGCACCTCTGATCCTTATAGGACCCTCAGGATATTCTTCACACGTCTTCATTCTGTTGAAGCAGTCTGCTAGGTAACTTCCCTCTTGTGCGGCAACCTGAACCAACAAGCAGTGCAACGTTAGCACATAAATTACAGAAGTGATCTTGCCACTCTCTGAACTCATGAATCAGCTGGCCTCTAAAGCTACACGTGAATACCTGAGCTGTTGCTGGGAGCATCTTGACTTGAGAGTCCACTTGAGCTAGGGCCTTTTTGAACTGTTCGATATCCAGTTCTTTCAACTCCTTGGAGCTACCATCCGAGTCTTTAAGTAGATCGTGGAAGTCCTTCATTTGGTTGGATTTAAGATACAATTCCACTTGTGGGTATCTCTCATAGATGTCTCCAAGAACATCTTTTATTTTCTTCACAGTTAAAGTGCCAGAGTTATCCTGGTCTGCTACTCGGAATATGGCAGCAACATCTTCCTGAAAATGTTAATATGACCCAATAAATATGTAAGCACATTCTAAATACTACTCCCTCCAGTCAGCTTCATATGATGTTTCAGACAGCGATTTTGACCTGCTTGCAGTTTTATTTTGCTGTCTGAAATGTCATATAAAGATGACTGCAAGTAGTATAATTGATTTCTGCTACGCAAAACATTGCAGCAGAATGTATCTTACTGAAAAATCCATTAATACAGCCCATTAAACATGCATGTAAGAAGATTGTGCTAGCTGACACAATATAGAATTTATTTGATACAAAGTATTTGTATTTATATTGACAAAACAGACATATCAGTAGCTAGGAACTCAACACTAAAGCAACAACAATTTTCTAATTGGTTCCTCTCTGTGTGACAACAGCAGATAATTTTGGTATTAGAGACAGATTATAAAAAAAGGTAAAAGACAATACACACAGTTGCCATTCTTAAGAACAAGCTAGATGCAGGTGTCAGTTTGAACAAAGAGAGGAGGCCACGAGTAGTAATTTTGATAAATAGGTGTCATACCCATGGTGTGCTTATTGGTATAACATGTTTTAAAAATTGAGTAGCATGAACATACCATAACTTTTCTTTGAGCAATTGTTGCGCAATCACCAAGAGCATATACATCCTCACACCCTTGAACCCTAAGCCACTCATCAGTAGCTAGAACACGCCGATTCCCCTGCAAAAGTCATGTTGATATTAAACTTGGTGTGTACATGGACAATTTTCACTCGTGAAGAGAACAAGAATACAAGATATACCTGACCAACTTGCTTCATGAAATCCATAATGATGGGACGGGTTCCAATTCCAGTTGACCAAACTGCCATCCCATAAGGAACAGCGACCTCTCCTGTAGCAGGATTGGTCATGGTAATATCCTTATCAGACACCTTCACGACCTTAAAATTTGTCTTCAAATCTATGCCATCCCTCTTGAACTTCTCTTCAGCAAATTGAGTGATTCTTTTGTCAAACCTAAATAAACCATGAAATATTTATAAAAAGATTGCAACAGATCTAAAGATATCAGGAGGCAACAGGTGCATTAAACACATAGGCTGATTCAGGAGATTTTTCTTGAGCCTTTCATATTATAACTTCATAAACATACGAAACGCCGCATAAAAAATTGCAATTATGAGACACCAAATCTTCAGAAACACTTTTTTTGTTCTTTATTACAAAAAAGAAAAAGAGGACACATCTAACCATTTCATTTGGTCTCTCCACATAATTAGAATGAGTGAAGTAAACATCAAATCAAAGGAGTTAAAAGCATCAAACGAACTTACATTGTAAGGATATGACCTCCTGCTTCAATTACTGAAATGTTTACATACTTCTTTACATCAGGATACAACTTTGCCAAGTCTTCATTCACAAAGTCGTGCAACTCTGCAGCAAATTCAACCCCTGTTGGGCCACCACCAATAACAACGAAATGAAGGTTCTTCTTTCTCTCTTCCTCAGAAAGGTTTGGAAGGGCAGCTCTTTCAAAACATTTCATGACACTCTTCCTGATCTTTTGAGCATCTTCTACTTCCTACAATAGTAACACTATCAAAAGGCATTCAATTGTACAAAATATATTAAAAAAACGTTAGGATCATTACATGTTACATCAAGAGCAGCATAAAACAGCAGGTCATGGATAAACACAAGAAGTAAACCAAATAATAAAATTTAACTTTGCTCTAAATCAAACTAAACTAACTTTGACCAAGTTTGTAGGGGAAAAAAACACCAATATCTACAGTATCAAATTAGTCAAATTAGTTCCATAAAATTCTCTATAAATCATGTCTTGATAGTGCATTTATTTGAACTTGTAGATGTTAATGTATTTTTTTCTAAAAACATGGTCAAAGTTAGAAGTTTTTCGTAGGACAAAGCTAAAGTGACCTATATAATTGAAAATGTAGGGAGTAGGACCCAAGGTAAATCTGGCATCTATATAAAAATAAATAAATAGCATGCAAAACCTTGTTCATCAATTCAACTAGGTACTTCATTGCTTCACTAGGCCTTACAGTACTTACCTTTAGGAAATGGCAATTCTCAGTAACACCAGGGGTGTTGAAAGTATTAGGTCTAGCCCCAACACTGACAATCAGGTAATCATAATCCACAACAAATTCACCGTTTCCATTAATGTTCGTCCCAACATCTGATCTGCAGTGGACGTTTTTGTTTGTTGGATCAATCTTGAAGCACTCAGCCTCCCAAAATCGGAATGCACCATTTCTCTACAGAATGTTATGCACAGATCAGTTGCAGAACTAGCACTTTATTATACATATCAATTGTACAGTCCATAATATATCCTATGTACTGACACAGATTAAAAAAAACAAAAAAGATGATCATATCATAGCCATAAGTACTACAAATTTGGAGCATATTCCCTTTTAGAGCTATATGGACATACCTTTCTCACGATATTGCGAATTGGCTCCACGATACTACGTGCTTCAACTGTGCCACATGTCACACTTGGCAACAAAGGAGTGAAGGTGAAGTAATTGCGAGGTGATACCACATGGACATCATACAAAGATGTGTCGATATTTCTCAAGAAACTTGCACCTGCCCATCCAGTTCCAAGGATAACCACCTTCTTCTTGTTTCCAGTCCCATCACAAATTTGAAGAACCCGGTTATCTTGACAAGCATAAGTTAAGGTGCTAGCTCTACAAAAAAAAATGTTGAAAGTGTCACTCCTGAAATATACAAGTGAAATGACACTACACTAAGTAAAAAAGTGAAGTGTGCCTGTTGGATTGCCATAACATTTAAAACTGAAGTTTCCTTGACACTTTCCTGATATATCCACAAATTGATAACCACATCTGAGATTCATAATAAAAGTGTTTTAGTACAAGGGCTAAAGATTGTTTTTCTTTCTGTATTATGCAACCCAGGAAACAATTCCAAACTGCTAAAAAACGTTTGCTACTTTTTAGTGATCATCAAACAGCATGATGAACAACTACATGTACTGCTGCGGAATTAGAAACACATTCCAGGTACAGGAACTAAAAAAATCTTCTGCTACCTCTTTTTTTTTTTAAAAAACAACTACCTCATTAACTAGATGACAAATAATAAAAAGCATATTCACACATATAGCATTTACCTTGCAGTACATTATTCATTCTCATGTTCGTTTCAAAAATAATTCATTCTCATGAGACATTGTTGTAACAATCTTAAACACCTAGAGCACCTACTGCCGGCTCCCTAAATCCCAGATTCAAAAATATACCAGGTTAAT